TGAGTGCTCTCTCGTTTTCTTTCGGCAATTATAAATACACATTGCCTGTATAATCCCTTTGAAACTTTTTTTTGTTATGAGTCCTGTTTATACAACATTGTATTTAAAGACAAATTCCTGATTATCGTCAATCCTTCTACAAACGCACTTATAATTATTCATTTTCTTAGTGACCACAGCCTCACCATGCTAGCTGGCCTAGGTACCCTGGGGTTCGAGATCCTAGAACAATGTGACTGTAACTTGGACGCAGTTATAGTTCCTGGGAGTGACGCAAACCTTCTTAGAGCGCTAAGATATTCTATAAAAAGGATTTTCCCTCAAATTAAAGTAATGGTAAGTGAGGATATAAATCGCTCCGAGACCTCACATTGTTTTAACACCATTTCCTTGGTCTGATATGCAAAATATTCTTCTTGAGGGCGTAAAAGTCAAGGAAAAAGAGTCTACAAGAGGTACGTGGAGTATATTGCCTCCTCCGAGCGTGGAAACATGTAATGGTACTTCGTGATCAATGAGGCTATGTTTATAGGTGTGCACTTGATTGGCTGTCAAGTTTCTCAACTTAAGGTCTGATTGGTTGGACAAATTTGCGCGTGCGTTGTAGTGATTATTATAGTTACTTCATTTACGTAATATGTTAGCCTACCCCTGAAGCGATCACACTCATTAACGCGATGGGAATTTGAATTGGGATGATCCGCGGAAGCTAAATGATTTGGACCGCACAATTTATTACCTCTCTTAGAAAAAGCCTTGGAGTTAAATGATAAAGAAAGCACACCACTTTAATCAACGCACTAAGAAAGTGTCACAAGCGAACGAAAGCCAGGAAGTTAAATCGTAATTAAGTAAAGCGCCATGTCATCTTATCGGATATTATGTATCATAGAACTCCCTTATAGAACTAAGCTAATGAGTAAGAAGGCAAATTGACGGTTTGTCTTTGTATCCACGTACTTTCTAGTTCGTCGAGCGTATCAATATCATATCAACGCAATATAAACCTTCTTTCAAACGAAATGACAGTCTTTCATTTGCTTTTTCGCTAGATTCGACTGATGCGCTAGACAATGTACCTGAAATCAGGTAAGCATCAGCTACTTTGAGCTGAAGCAGTTCACTAATTTTTTAATTTTTTTAATTTGTTTTTTTATCTTATTTTCTGGTAATATATGTCACGCGAAATAGCATCGCCGATGCCTTCCAGAATTCACGGGGCGGCAGTGAGTAATACACGAGGGGTTTCTTTAAATTAATTTCTAGAGGCTTTGTTTTTGGATTGTAGGAAATTCAGGTAAAGTATGAGTCATTTTGCATTGACAATATTTAAGCCTTCAAGTCCAGAAATAAAATGAAAATAGAAATCCGCCTGATCGCGTTCGTTTCTTACATCAGCGACGTGCACATTTCAAGAACGGTCTTACGAGTTTTGGAAAAGAAAGGTTTCCTCCTTACTACGGAGGGTGTGTCAGGAATGGCAGCTTTCTTAACCGGAAAAGTTACTCAGCTGAGAAATGGACGGTAAGTGAAGTAGAAATTTAAACTCGGTGACGGTTACATGAGGAGCAGGGGGGACTTTGTTACTTTAAATTAGCTTTAGACCGTATATGTCCAAAGACTTGAAAATTCATTCGACTTAATTTTCCTCATGTTTTATTAGCAGCGGTAGCAATGTCATCTGAAAAAAAAAATACACAAGATTAGCTAATTTCCTCGACGAACATCGTGAAAACTTCAGAACTTCTACAGCGGTGATTTTCATAAGTTTAAAAATTCAAGTGAAAATTTCACTCCCTAAAATTAACTCGTTCACTCGCTTCCCCAACCCTCACCTTGATATTTTGTTAAAGATATATTTACATAATTAAATCGTTTAACTAGGTTACAACATTTTTAAAATGAAAGAAAATCACCGAAAAAGACGATTTTGAAATATCTTATTGAGCTGTGATGACAGAAGAATCAGAATTTACACGCTCTCCGTTTGATAATTGTTTGTTTATTTCTTACAGGGTGGTGGTGGTATTTTCCGAGTCCTGGTTACCCAGTCTTCTCCAGTTGGAACAGCTCATCAATGAAGGCCTGGCTAACGGTGATAGATGTCTTAGTGTCCCCACCCCTGTTGCAGGGGACGTACTCATCGAGTAACTGACGTCGACTTCTGAGTAACTGACGTCGACTTCTGAGGCCAGATTGGGAACGAAAATAGATTACCGCTATTGAACAGGATTGACGTCTCACAAAATTGTTATCATCTCCCATCAGGCTATGTGAGAGTGGCAGTATAGACGGCGACATATCAATCATTTATCAACATAGGTCTGCAATGCTAAGCTCAGCTTTGTTCTAGTACTTGTAGAAGATTTTGCATCATGACAAAAAGATTGATTGACTAAGGATAACTCTTGAGTTTCCAAAAGGAAAGAACTTAGTTGAGGCAGTTCAATACATGTAAGTTATGAGTTCTTGACAACTGTTATGGAAGAGAAGTGATGTATCACGAAAAACTTGTGAAAGAGGTACGTCACAAGACAGTAATATGACGATAAATTTTAAAATCAAAGCTATACTTGCACAAACCCAATAAGCTTCAAGCTCCTCAACAGTGATCTGTATTAAATATGAAGATTTAAAATTATTCTTAAGGTGTTTGTGAGGTGATCTTGAAGCATGCAATATTTCCTTGAACTCCATGCAAAATGTCCAATCCAACACTGATTCAAAGGCATTGCACAAGAGGACCATTGAGTGTAGTGCGACACTTAATTTATTGATGAAATTATCTGCCAATCAATTTGAAGCTTCAGCATCCCACTGTGCGACCTACAGGTATTTGACTATTGCCTCTACCCAAGGAAGACACAAAAGGCCCTTCCAGGGGGTGGGAAATTTAAACCTTGCCTTTAAGGGGTGACCATTTGTGAATTTAGGTTGCCAAATGGTGTAATTAATTTAAAAATCAACTTCTTAGTTTGGCAATAACCTCTTTTAATCTCATGACTGTAAAAAAAAATTCAGTATTACTATGAGATTAAATTAGATGCTGATCACTCCCTGATTTAACAAATTTCTTCATAGGATTGAAAAGTAATTTCAGAAAAAAGTGCTGATAATCTTTTACAGAAAAATAAAATTTATTTTTAATTTTTTTTTGTATGTGGTAAAACCAGATTAACTGCAACTTCATTTGGCAAAATTCCCTTTTTTCAACCCTCTAACTCCCAAGATCTCACTAGCAATTCTCCTTACTGTCTGCCATGTAGTTCTTATGCTGTTAATTTGGAGAATTTGGTATTGTATCAACTAATAAACCCCTAGTTACGGGTAATATTTTCCTTTATTCTCGTCACTTATCTGCTTGATATTATATTGATATTGTAAGGAGAAATTCTGTCTTGGTCACTCATGAGAGTTAAAGAGTTAACTCAAAGTTACATCATAGTTCCTTATAAACATTATAGACTTCATATTCATCAGTTATTGCCATATTCACATGCTTGTCAATAAAATTCTCAAGATCTAAAGGTGAATAATGTTGACTCCAGAACTGAATCACTTTGCCTGCCCTATTCACAAGATACTTGGCAAAATTCCACTGAGGAGCATATTTTGCACTTGCATAAAGATACTTGTACAAAGGATGAGCCCCAGGACCAACAACTTTGATCTTTGAAAACACCGGAAAGTTCACATTGTATTTGTTCTTCACAAATCTGGCAATACCACTATTCCTCAGGGGTTCCTGTTGGCCAAACTGATTGCATGGAAATGCAAGGATGTTGAAATCGTGATTATCAAACTTTTTCTGTAGTTCAACCAACTCTTTGTAATGCTTATCTGTGTAACCGCATTCACTGGCAACATTCACAATCAACAACATCTGAAAACAAAAAACAAACAGCTGATTGAGGAAATAAAAAATTAACTCCTAGACCAAATTTGATATTCTCCTTACTGTCAACCACACAATTCTTATAATGTTAGTTAAGAGAATTTAGAATTAGATCAACTAATTATCCCCAAATTGATAGTTTTCTTTACTCTCATCACTTGTCTGGTTGCTATTGTATTAATATTGTAAGGAGAAATTCTATGTTAGTAACTCCTGGAAGTTAAAGGGTTAAGGTTTTAAGGGTGGGGAAGAGAGTAACAGCGGCCTATTTTTTCAAGAGATATTTACTCCAGAAACCATGTCGTTTGAAAAATCTTCATTAAAAAATATTTATTGAATTACTGGGTACTATGCAGATTCCTAAGAGTCACATAAACTTTCAAAACTGTCCTCAAATGTACAGTGTACCAATATGTATAAAACCAAATTCCTACCATGTGATTTCTGGACTGTTAAGTCATTGTTTGGAATCTCCAAAGCAATTGGTAACTGGTAATTTTTGTAACTATACTTATCAAATGGTGGAGATAGAAATGTGTTTTTTGGCAGATGTTTCTTTTAGCTCTCAGAGCTGGCAGAAACTTAACAGTCAGATCTTATTACAGTTTCCACATGACATAGCATTCAGGATAGGATTCTAGTCCATGATGGGTCATTTTCCCCCTTCCCAACCCTCCCATATCCCAGCCACCCCATCAATTAGCAAAAGAATGCAGTAAAATGACCTTCCTACAGCTTGATCTTCATCCTCTCAGTTTGCAGTCCAGTCCAGTCTACGTATTACCAAGCCTCTGTGTCTTCATCACAGGCCTACATTAGCTCGACTGTCTACTGCATGCAATTTGAAATATTCAGTTCTAAGCAAATTTGGGATGATAGAAACCAAGGACGTTACCAGAAGAACTGCTCTAAAAAACCCTTAAAGTAAATATCTTTAGTCCATGCAAAAACGTGTGGAGAGTCAGACAAGTCTGATACAGCTTTTGCGACGTGGCAGAAACATTCTTAAAGTTCCATTCGTGACAACAAACAGACATTGTAAATTGTACGTTGCAATGCTTGTGTGCGAACTCAATTTGAAAGCCAATTTTCTAAATCACTGTGTTGAATACGACCACCGAATGTCATTCTTAAGGGCAGCTGCTTATGGTAGATTCATACGAAAGAATTAACTCACACGAACTAAATCTGTATGACTACATACAGTCGTAACTTGAGCATCGCCTCGAAGAGGAAAGTTTATTTTTACAAAATACTGACCTTTCCTTTAAACACACTCATTGGAACGGCATTTCCCTTTAAATCTTCTACAGTTAAAGAATAAAAATCCGAAGATTCAATCAAATCTACTCCGAAGCCAAGCAACACAATCAGGCCGAACTGCCAGACCTCCATTTTGCGGGAATTTCTTATTCCTTTCATTCATGAGGGGGACTAGAACTGAGCAAGTTGTTGCTACGACAACGTTACTGGGGACAGCTGTTTTGAGCTGTCAAGGTGACGGCCAATCAGAGTAGGAATATTTTTTATTGTCCAATCAGAGCTCGACTTTGGAATTGAGCGCTTTGTTTCAAATTATGAATCTGCATGTTTTGTTAAGAAACGCTAATTCTCACGGACTCTTATTGATGTTAATAAGAAAATATATTCCACGATCTGCAAAAAATCATGTCGCATTTCAGTTTTCATAGTGAAGTGAATGATCTCTTGAGACTAGATGCTCCTATTAGCAAAGGACCGGTTCCGCGATGGCAGAGAAAGTCAACAGAACGTCGCTGTTCCAGTGCGACTTCAAGCACACCGCTTCGCAACTCGTCAAGGTTAAACTTGAGCAAGACGCCGTCGAAGACACCGAAATCTCTCAAGAAAACGCCCAAGACACCTTCTGAGGACAGATTTATTCCTAATCGAAGTGCTATGAATTTTGAAGCGAGTTATCACAAGATGATCAAAGCTGATACCGAGAACGAAGAGAACGAATGTATCAGTCCTTCGAAAGCCGAATTCAAGAAGAACATGGCCGAAAACCTTGGTGTCGGCGAAGCAAATGCTAGAATTCTTGCCTTCAAGAGCAAAGCACCAACGACGAAAGAAGGTAATATAACATTTGATAATAAAAACGTTAAATTAGAGAAGTAAACCCGCGATCATATGTTTGATCGTCTTGTTTTTCAACTTCACTTACAACTTGACATGCTTTCATTTTTTTCCTTAATATTCACATGGAGAAAGATTTATTGATTGAATACATGTGTCACGTGCTGCTTCTTACTTTTTTCTACTTTACCGATCTTTTATTTTTCAGGCCATTTGAATGATCTACGCGTGTTGTACGGTCAGAACAAAACTCCCTCCACTTCGACCAAGAAGAATGCAAGGCATATTTCTCAAGTTCCTGAGAGAATATTAGATGCACCCGATCTTATTGACGATTACTGTAAGTTACTAACGAAATAAGAAATTATTTGGAAATTAGTAGAAGACAATATGTTTCGCTTTCAGTTTATTCAATCTATCGCACGCCGTTTACTCAAAAGTACGTTTAAAATAAACATTTGAATGTCAAGGTGAAGGTCATTAAGTTCTCTCAAGGTCACACGTGAACAAAACACTGTCAAGGTCACACGTGGATAAATACCACTTAAATTCTCCTCCTCTTAAATTAATCCTCTTGAGAGACTTCCAACTAGTCATGATTATAAAAATCAACCTGCAGAATTAGACAAGTTACAGAAGTTTTTCATCAACTCATTGTTAATTTAGAATTTTTGCTTTCCTGTGACATCTAGCTCAGCTGTGTTGTGGTGACATGAGATTTGATGGCTTTCAAATGCTTTTAACCAATCATATAGGAGTATGTTTGCTGAAGGGATTACCTTCAACTTGACCTTAAGAGCTCTCCACCTGCGTATAACTCAGTTTTAATTGAAGTCCCTTGATGTATGTGTGATTTCATTTCAACATTTTTTCTGGGAAAAAAATACAAATGCAAGGTTTGATGCATCAAAAAGCTGGTTTTCTTGCTAAAGTTTCAGAATTGTTGATGAATCTCAGAAACTGTGACCCTTGAAATAGATTATTTTTAAGCAAACTAAACCATCAGTGTGAAGTAACTCCAAATATTCTTCAAGTTTTTGGTTTGCTCACATGTCCTGATTCCGCATTATTGGTCTTAAAACGAGGAGAATTCCAAAATGTCTGATACGTTGGTTTCCTGAGTTTGTCTTGAAAACTGATTGCCACGTTAAAGTACCTTGGTTTATCTGAAGACTAAAATTCTGCAGATAATGCATTTTCACTCAGTCCTGTCATCTGTTTCTGCCCATTTGCACTAGTAAATAGTCTCACTGTGCACTTTAAATTAACCAGCCCCTACAGGTCCACTCAGGACACCCTTGAGTGCCCATCTTTTAAAAGTAAGAGAAGAAAGACAAAAATTATTAAGCCTTTCCACCCGAACATCAGCTTGCGTATTCTCCTTACTGGTCATTATCCATTTCCTTACAAAGATTAATCATTTAAGTATAAAGATAATTTTTTAGTTGGCAATCATTTCTTTTATTCTCATTATCTTAACCCTTTAACCCCCAAGATCTCATTAGTAATTCTCCTCACAGTTTCCAATACAGTTCTTGTGATGTTAGTTTGGAGAATTTGGTATTGGATCACCTAATAATCCCTACCTGATGTTTTTCTTCATTCTCATCACTTTTCTGCTTGATATTGTATTGATATTGTAAGGAGAAATTCTGTCTTGGTCACTCATGGGAGTTAAAGGGTTTATGTTGAATTCAGAATGATATTTCTGGGTGAAGTTAGATGCTTATCACTCACTCTAAGGGGCTAAAGTTGTGAGTAGTCCCTTCATTTTGTGTGCATGCAATGCTAGACTGAAAGAAATGTGTTTACTTATTGATTTTTCAGATCTGAATCTCTTAGACTGGAGTTGTAACAACCACTTAGCTGTCGCTCTTGGTGGTTTTGTTTACTTGTGGAATGCAGCTTCAGGTGATATTGTACAACTGTGTCAAACTGAATCACCAGACTGTTATATTGGAGCGGTGTCTTGGATTAAAGAAGGGAATTATATTGCTTTGGGAGACAGTAATGGTGCTGTGCAGGTATCCAAATGTTCCTTTGGTAGTTAAATTTTATCTTAGATGCTGGTAACTCGTAGAGGTCAATGGTTAATCAACAAGCACTGTTTTTCCTACAGTTGTGGGATGTAGAGGCACAAAAACGTGTACGCAGCATGTCAGGGCATTCTGCTAGAGTTGGTTGCTTGTCATGGAATTCATTTATTCTATCAAGGTGAGTTTACAAAAAGTGAACTCTGAGGAGTGAAGTGACTTATTGTTAAGTTATGCACTGTCCTACAATTAGGGTATTAAACCCTTTAACTCCCAAGATCTGATTGTTAATTCTCCCCTGTAGCTACTACACATAAATCCCTAGATTAGTTATCAGAACTTGGTGCTAGATCAAGATAACAGCTTCTACCTGATGAGTTTGAATATTCTCATTACCTGTTTGCTGAAGAATGTATATATATATATATATATATATATATATATATTGTAGGGAGAAGTTTTATGTTAATCACTTCTGGGAGTTAAGGGTTAAGGTAATAAAAATAAAGAATGTTACAAACTCATTGATTACTACCAAATTGAAAATAATTTCTTTAAACAAAAAAAAAAATTGAAGAGGATGAGTAAATAATAGGAACAAGGAAGAGTAGGGGTAGCTTGGAAAGGGGTTATTTAGAATTCAAGGTAAATGTATAATTTGTCTTTGTTAAATTTTGTTTCTTGAACACCAGGCCTCCTTAGAAAATGCAATGAAATTGCTTTTGTTTCACAACTTCTTCTTTCTTTTTTTTCCTATTTCCCTGATTTCCTACATTCTTAATTTCCTTTTCCCATCTTCTTTACAAATTTGATAAAAGGCTACCAACAAAATTATAGGATTATTCTATTTATTATGAATTTATTATCAGTGGGAGCAGAAGTAGTGCCATTCACCATCATGATGTTCGTGTCGCAAATCATCACGTTGCAACACTTGCCAGACATACGCAAGAAGTGTGTGGACTGAAATGGTCACCTGATGGCAAATATCTTGCTAGTGGAGGAAATGATAATCTGTTGGTGTTATGGGATGCCAATGTCAACACAAATAGTAACACCAATACGCCGCTGTTCACCTTCAATCAGCACCAGGCAGCTGTTAAGGTTTCTATGTAACTTTTTCTTTACTTTAGACACATGTCCAGATTTTAAAATTTTAAAATTTATTTTAAACTGAAGTAAAAGTTAATGAAACTAGTTCCTTTGAATTTTTGTCTGATTTTCAGTCTGTTGTAGTGTGGCTTACACATGAGCCTCTGGCTTGGATGTAGTGGTTGTGGGTTCTGGGCATTCAGTGAGATAACCTAGTGTAATTGTAAACTAGTGACAGAGAAATGAAAAATGAGGAGGTCTGGGTTGAGTTGCAATCTGGCTCTTCAAACCTCTCTGTTTGGTTTTGCTTTGTTATTTTGTTTCCCCTCCAATGTTTAGTTACTGTATTGTATACTATCTTCCACTTTTACTGACTGAATGCTTGGAACAGGCCAATATGGAAGGAACCCATAAGTTTCCCCCTTTCTGACTTGATGGAATGAAATAATTGATTGACTGATTTGATTGACAAGTAATTTCACCTTTTTGATGATTATTTTTTTCCAGATCAGTTAATAAATGGCAATCACTGGCATAGAAAGTGATCCCTTCTCAGAATTACCTCTATTTAACTACTCATATCACCTAATAGTCCTTTCTGAAATACCATATTTGATAAGAAAAAAAATTGTTAGTTTACAAAACATTTTTTTTTCTGGTTTATTTTCAGGCACTTGACTGGTGTCCATTTCAACGCAATGTACTTGCTAGTGGTGGTGGAACTGCCGATCGACACATCAGGTTTTGGAATGTTGCTACTGGAAACTGTCTCAGCAGTATTGACACTCAATCACAAGTAATTCACCCTTTATATTCTACAATATTTTCTAAACAAATCCAAATAATACTGACAAGGAGAATGTTTAACAATCAAGAGCGTATTCAGTTATCAGTGATTTCCTTTTTACTTATAATGTTAGACTACTGGATTAGAGAATGAATCTCCACCATTCCTAATGATCAAGAAGAACTCTGCTCTACAATGGCCATGTAACCCACACAGGATAATTTGGTGTTATCAACTGGGTTAATTAACCCTTTAATACCTAAGAGTGACTAGCATCTAATTTCTCCTCCCAATATCAACCTTGAATCAAACATTAAGGTAATGAGAATAAAGGAAATGATCACCAATCAAAGCAACTCTTTATTATTAAACAAATTCTCTTTGTCAGCACCTTG